AAGAGATTTCTTTTTGAGAGATTTAAATCACAAATATACTGTAGACCACCACACCCTTCGTCTTATCAGTTTTTTCCTTCTGATCTCTTAGTTAAAGGACAGGTTCCAGCTCCAGCAATTGCAGCTGAAGTTGAGGGGATGTCTGTTGATAGATATGGTAAGTATAGTCTGCATTTTTGCATGGTTGTCTCTTGTAGTTCAGCGACGGTCAGCTGTTTGTCACTTTCAGAAAATGTGGGCTTCATAAATGGACAAGTGCAGCCAGAAGGTAGAACTATTAACAATTTCATTGTAGAATTTTTACTGCTTCCGTGGCGCATTGACAATAATGACAACATTGAAACATTTTATGCTGTTTACCAATTTTCCCCCATCTCCTGTCTGCCTATTTGCCTTTACATTTCTGTTCTCCTCCCTAGTTGTTACCATCCCTGCAGGTCCCACTCCCGGCCCCGGAGCAAGTGTTGAAGACCTGCCTGACGCCGCAGGCGCCACGAGCTTAGTTTCTGCACCTGTTGGAAAAACGCAAGGTGTGGCTCAGGTGACTCAGCAGCCTGATGATGACCTGCTACAACAGCAGTTGCCACGGCAGATACACATTCAGCAGCATCTCAAACTGCATTTTCACCCACAAGACAAGTCCTGGAGAGGTAAAAGAAAATTGTAGAATCAAATAAATCAAACAAGGAAATAAAATGACAAATGCACACATTCTGTATGCACTGGCTGGATTGTTATATTATGGAGCTTTAGAGGCACAGAGTAAGAGGCTAAGCTAGTCATCTTAACACGAGAGACATAAGAGGGGCATGATCTTCTCATGAAGCTTTGGCAAGAAAGCAAATGTATATTTCCCAAAATGTTGAACTGCTCCTTTAGGTTAACATTGCCAGGCATTTAAATGCAAGAAGAGACTATAAGCTTGCTTTGCATTAATATGTAATCAGTGTAAGCAACACTAGATGGAAGTCTTTTGAAGCTTTCGAATAACAGCATTTCTTTTTGTCTCTAGGTGGAAAGAATGACAAATATGATCTGAATGGCTTCCTTGGGAATAGTGGCTATCAAGGTATAAACACACTGATAAAAACTAAAATGTTTTTATAAAGCAAAGACTGTTGTATTTGCATCTGTCCCATTCATGTTTGAACCACATTCTTATTTTTCCCCACACAGGTTAATCGTGCTGACAATAACAAGTCCCTTTGTCACTGTATGTTTTTTATTGTTTCCTCAATGTATATTATTATTTCATCCTGTCTGAATATTCCAGGTAGTCAATTTCTATTTTTGTAAGTTGAGATAAAATAACATTTAAGCATTTTTGAGTTGTTAGGCTTAAATATATGTTTATGCATCCTGCATTACATTTTTGTCCTGCAGTTACTATACATGCAAGAAATTGATGATGGAGAAATGTGATCTGTCTGCTGCATATGATTGTCTTAATTAATCCATCCAGTTTTGAGTGTTATCAACTCTAAACATTTCTACAAAATCTACTTCAGCTGTATTTATTTGTCATGGGAAAGTTTTTTGTTTTTGTTTTTACTACTTGTGGCACACATCTGTTAATTTTCTGTTCAAATAAAACGTTTGAAAAATCCCAACAGTGGAAAATGCTGCATTACTTATCCACCCGGTTTATACATTTGCTACCAAAAGCCAGATCTTGTTTAATATGTTTAAATGTACATAAGGATTTATCTGTCATTAAGAAAAACCACCAGCTTAAGGTGTTAACCCCAGTTCATCCTGACAGAAGCACAGACAAGTATAGGTAATTGGAGCATGTGTGCAGTCTACATGTACATCAAGGGAAATACACTAAGTTCAACATGAAGTCCAGGAGTGAGTCAGTTTTGAGCCACAACAAGAAGCAACTGGAGTAATGCACATGGCTTTTTGTGAGGATTACCCGAGCTTAGGAATAAGATCCGTTTTCTGATTGGTCCTACTGATAGCATGCCACTTAGCCACCTCAACAGGTTACTTGCTTGGAATTACACCTGTCCAATGATGGGTTTTGAGGACCAGAATTTCCAGCTAGTTGTGGTCATGACTCTGCAGTCGAGTCCTGAGTGTGGCCTTTTTAGGATGTAAATGGTGAGGAACTCAGCACTGTCACCTAAATGTAAGGGCACTGGGTGCAGGAAGTTGTGATGGTGCTTTACAAAGGGCCACAACTGCTGGACTTTGCAAAGACTCCTCCACACCTTCAGTTCAACAAATATGTCCTGACGGGATACCGGCCAGTGTCCACAGCTCAAGAATGCCTCAGGAGCCTCTTCTACATGCACAATGAGCTGGGAAACATTTACACCCATGGTAAGTGCTTTGTACTTCATCTGATTTGCTACAAAATACATCCTTCTAGTTGAATACATAGAACAAGTTCTTAATGTGTCTACTACTCTCACCTAATAGCCAGTTGCATGCTTACTTGACAAGGATTTGAAATGAGGATGTGGGGTATTAGTTGTAATCTGCCTAGGAAATCCTTGTCCTCGAAATATCTTGTACAGCAGGTCTTTAAAGGTGTGTGTGTGGTTGACTGAAACCTTTCAGCTGTAAATACACATAAGTAGTTTGAGCAAAACATCTCACCACACACAAAAAAGCTAATTAAACCTGACTTAAATTGTGCAAACAAGAAAATAAATGGCAAATGAACTGCACATGAGCTAAACCTGTGCAGCCTTGAACTTCCAAAGGCACTTTCTTCACGCCCCATTTTCTCCTTGGCTATCCCTTAAGTTCATTAAGATTAACACTAAGGGGAAATTGAGGGCATTGGTGCATTGCTCAGGTTTCACTGTGCATGTAGCAAGCAGGCTAACTTTCAACTTATTTCTGTTAATTTGTTTTAAAAAAGGAACAGCTGTTAGACCCATAAATTCCTCATATTGTTCTGCAGAAAGTGATATTTATATGCAGCTGCTCTGATTATAATGTCAAGCTTAAATATCACTATTACCAAATATGCAATTACCCAGGTCAACAACCACCCTTAAAACTTGAATAAAACTCTAGGATATGCTTCAATTCTTATTGTGTAAAGCCAATATCAGACATTTTGTGCTATTGTTTCCTATATCAATGTAGATTTCAAACAATTTGATTATATCCTTGATGTTTCTCTTTTTTTCTTTCCTCTTTCATCTCAATTTTCCATTACCTCAGGCATACCTTTCTTGGTTTTCTTAGTGCTGTTGCCTTTTAGTATTCCCTGGATGGAAGTGGACAGTGTTTGGATCTGTGTGGTCCACTACCTGGCCTGCCTCTCCCCCACCATGGGTTCAGTGGTCTACCATTTATTCATGAACCACATGGGAGGAGAACATGTGTATGACACCTTACTCTCTCTGGACATGTTTGGGGTCTGCTTGGTTAACACCCTGGGTAGGTCGTTGAATTTGACTTCATTAAATCTGTCTTTTGTAATTTGTTGCTGTAACTTTTGTTACAGTAGCTCTGGACAAAGCCATGTTAGCAGCCCTCCCCCCTTTATGCTAAAGTAGAGTAATTGACTCCTGACTGTACCAGACAGTAACATTCTGAGATTATACAAGGTTACAACTTGAGGCTTCTTGATTTGAATATTTTTGTCTTTTATGAAGTCTTCAGGGAGTCGTGTCATCACACAACAATCAGCCCAAGTGAAATTTCAAGACCTCATACAAGTCTGTTCTGCAACTCTGCAAATATTAACCTTCATTGGTACATCTGGTCTTTTCACTCCAGGGGCACTTCCCATCATCCATGTCACCCTTCTTTGTTACCCCACCATACAACAGGCTACCTTGCTGGTCTACATCTTTTTGTCAGCCTATGGGATCTACCGTGCCACCACAGCCTACAATAGCATCATGCGCCTTCGAGCTTTTGTCTGGCAAGCTTTGTTCCGCTTCAGCCTATTCCTCTTCCGGGCCTATGGCAGTGGAGGTGGCAGCCCGAATTCCCTGCGTCTCTTTGTCATCATGGACTCTCTGGCTGTACTGGGAGGGGTGGTCAATGTCATCCAGATCCCCGAGCGCTTAATCCCAGGCCTGTTTGACAACTGGGGCAACAGTCACCAGATTATGCATGTCATGGTTATTTGCTCAATTATCTACCTGCACTGGGCCACAGTGGAGGATTTAGCCTGGATTAAGGCCTACCAGTGTCCTATGTGATGTCAAGTTTAACAACACATGCATGTGCACATAGCTATGCTGATAGTAATGACATTTAGGAGCCACTGAGGCAGGAGTAAACTGTAAAGAGAAGAAAGGCAAGTTGTTGCCAAATGCACTTTAGTCCAAGGTGCTGAAATTCTTCAGAAGGGGAGTTTTAAAATTTGACATCTTACCAGAGCAGAATAAGAGGAATTTAAATTAGTAACTGTGGAACTCAATTATATCAAATCCTGAGCATACTTGATTTTTAGTTTGTTTAAATGCAGTAGTTTTGGGTCATTACCTGTAACCAACATAGATTTTAAGTGAAAAATGAAGTTATGCAATAAACTGTTTTATATCTCGCTCCAACTTGTATTTATGAATGAAAATGTGAAAGTGAAACAACACAAGTGCTTGAATGCTTTTTTAATTGCAAGAAAGATTTACTGTTTATACACTTAGCAATGGAAAAAAGTGAATTTTCTTTTCTAAATGTTATGTGGATTTGGCAACATGAAGTACATCCCTTTTTACTAGCATTCCTATGAGATGAGTGCATTCTTGTCTTAGCTTAACCTTCACCTTTGAAAGACACCTTCAAACCAAAAGCATCAAAAGCTGAATCAAATTATTTTGAAAAATGGGTGTGTTAATTCAATTTGAAAGAGGTATGAGTGTTGCTGTCATGTGGACAATTCACAGCAGCTTTATTTTATAATGCAATGAATCAATGCATTCTTGTTATCTGCAACAATGGTCGACATTGTTCTATCCCCCAAATAAGACTTTCAGGGATCATTCTTCATCTGAGCTACTGTCATCCTCAGCCTCTGATAGGTCGGTGATGGGAAACCGCAAGATCGCTGCCACTCCACTCAGCTGAGTCAGTTCTGAGGAGACAGTCAATGATAAATCAAGAGATGACAAGTGCTTCAGGCTAATTTTATGTCTGACTACAGATTGCCAATAGCACAATTGTAGATATGCACTTGTTTCTGTCCATCCTTGACTCCTCAAATTGAGGATGTCATCAAAGACAGTCAGGGCCTCATTTACATGTGGTTAGTCACATCAGTTTAGTGTGACGCCAAATAATTCCTCACAGTCCCAGTCATCAGATATTTATAGTGCAGACATGACAGTATGTTGGTGGATGTTAAAGCAGATAACAAACTGTCATATAAACATTTAAAAAATATATATAAATATATATATATCTCTTACGTTCGCCAGACACATGAAGGCTTGAAAATATTCTGCATGAAAAAAAGAGAAAAATCAGCTTGATGCTTCAAAAAGAATATTCTGCCATATCTTAGTGAATCGTTACATTGTCATTCTTTCAAAAGATAATCAGTACCTGACATTGCCGCCATTGTCTTTCACGTTGTCCACCAACCGAACGTAACGACTCCTCGTGGGGACATCCTGATGTCTGGACATACACATGTAGGCACACAAAAGATGCACTGATAGTATATTTGATTGTTCTTTAGTCATTACATCACTAACAATCCCTTGTCTCATGGCATACATTTTGTATAAAAATGGGATGCTACTGCAGAAAACCATTGAAAAGATTGGCTGATAACTGCTAACTATTCATTTCAGCAGCAAAAATTGTCCGTGAAAATAATTGTGTATTTAACATAGACAATCTAAAGATCTGTGATGGACACTACGTCTCAGAAGGTACCTGAACAGTTTATCACTTATCAACAAGGTGTCGACGGCCAGGGCGTCAGCAGCTTTTTCCACATGAGCCAGTCTGTGAGAAGGCAAACATACAAAGGTGGTTGATTATCAATGTGAATGCATGAGGCCTCTGGGTGTGTCACTGCCTGTTAACTGTTCTGGCCCACCATTACTCACCCATAGAAAGCTCTGTCAGGCTCATGCTGGAGCATCTTATAGAAATCCTCCAGGGCTTTGACCTCTCCTGCAGCCTGGGAATTAAGCATAAAAACCATTTAACACAATGATATAAACCTGAACTTTTTCAAGTTGAGAGCATGATGTAAAAAAACAAGTGGATGAATCACAGAACCCATAGTCACCTTGGTATCAGAAAGCCTACTTGTCACAGTGGGGTCAGAAAGAATTTCTGAAAAGAAAAGAAAAAAGCCATTTCATTAGGTTTTCACCCTGTCACTGTTTTATTCGCCAGTCCACCAGCTCCTACCTTTCAGTGAGTACTTGTGGCCTGATGATGAGTGGACCAGCATGAACTTGGGTCGATTTTCCAGCAGGAGCTTGTTGTCCTGACGCACTGCCTCTTTGAAAAGGTACGTCATGAACTGGTCCTTCACAAATCCTGGACTGGCAACCAGGATGCACTTCACCACTAGTGGGAGGCAAGGAGGAAAAATCAAAATTACAACTTTTACAATTTCATGAAACGGGGAACAAACAAAGATTAAATGGCAACAATAATAAACAATGGTGACATAAAGTGCAGTAAATGAGAGGCTCAGAGCAAAATATCAAATGTGACAGGAACAACAAAGTAAAAAAGGAGAAGTGTGTGACAAAAAAGGAACATACTGTGTGTGTGTGTATGTACTGCGTCTATACAGCAGCCTTACCATCAAAATTGATGTGGCGAAGAATGGCCTGCATGACAGCCTCATAAAACCTCTCCAATGCCTGCAAACATACACACACAGATTTATATATATATATAATTTAAAATTGATGTTCATTAAATATTTGACAAAACTGATTATTTTTACAGATTCATTTTATAGGTTTTCCTGATTTTATTTACTGTACATTTGACAATACATTTAAAAGTTGAGGAGTGAGTCTACCCATCTTATTCTATTCAGTGCTTATTAGTCACCAGAAATAGAAATCTTTATCCAAAAATCACACAGGGCAAGAGGAGGGGGGTTGTCGTGCCAACACGCTACCTTCACTTGTTGACTTTATTCTAGCATCAGTCTATCCAACATCCATTCAACCATCTACTGTACCTTCACATTTCAATCATCTCTGACAATCTTTACAGTTAAAAACCCATTCTCTTCTCTCTTCTTTGCTACTTAAGTTCTTGGCTCAGCTTTTTGTGCAGGTCTCTACCTTCTCATGCTGAGTGCAGCTTCCCTTTCTCTTGCGAGGAATCGTGACCTCCACTTTTGCGCGAAGCAGGGTCATGGCAGGGGTCACCAGCACCAGGTTGGCCAGGCCCTCCTGCATTACTACAGCTGCCACATCTGCCTTTTGGACTGGATCACATGCCTGTTCTGTAAAGTAGACAACAATAAATGATTACTGGTTACTTCACAATGTTACCAGCAAATGTATTATTACAGTTTTATTATTAATTATTGTATTTTACTGGTCACTGAAATTGAATCTAATGTCTGTAGTCTGAGTATAGCTGTTGCTAAGAATTTCAAAACACTTTCTTCTTAGGTTTTAATTATTTTGGTGAAAATTATAGCAGCAATGACTCATCAGTCCTCCACTTCTTTAAATGCATGAACCCCATCTGTCATCTATGGACTTCCCTCCTGTTTCTCCCTATTCAGTTCCCATGACAACAGTGTCTTTGTTGGTTATGTAAATAAATTAACACAAGGACTGTGCATTTTCTATAAAAGAAAACCAGCTAATATGTCACTCTGTCAGTGTATTTAGTTAACTTTTAACTGCTATCTGGAAAAAGCTCTCATCATAGCCAGTGATTATGTCAGCTAAGCACATTTAACCGCAGTATAGCCCAACATCCTGCATCCAACCAGGGCATTCTTTAAGCAAAGGGGTGTAAATAATTTGCAAACAAGTAAAAATGTAAATTTGTCATAACATAGCTTACTATCATTACTGTGCTCCTACAACTTCACCCTTATTCTTCAGCATCTGTAAACATTTGTTGACATTTGGACTCCTTTTGTTGCTTAACCCATATTGGCTCACTTCACAATTACTTGTGTGTCTGTGTTTTGTAAGAATGAAAATCCGACTAGTCAGCAGAATGCTTAAGATGTTCAAGATTACAGTGACTAATAACAGCATTATAGTGACAGGTACTGCCAAGAACAGTCCATACAAAAGTACACTTCAGCCATATTGCAAAAAAGGGCAATGAGAATTGTCCATAAACTTGGATATCGGGATCACACTAATGCATCATTTATACAGTCTAAAGTATTAAAA